TTAAATTTAGGAAACTTTATAAAGCTTTTGGCAAGAAGACGTAGTTTTGTCAAATGATCGATTTCAGATGAACGTCACATCATTTCCCATCTAAAATGATGCCTTTTCTTCACATCACTAGTATTAAAAAAGATGTATTACTCCTTTAAAGGTATTGAGCGTTGTTAACAATAAATAATGATCGGCGAAAAGCATCAGAAATCAAAATGTATCATTTACCTTGTATCATATAAATAAACATGCCACATAACTTCCTGTTGGTCATTTGCCCCAGTTAGTGGTATACTGTCTATTCCAAACATGCTTGGGTATCCATCCATCCATTATCTGACACGCTTTATCCCAAGTGGGGTGGCGAGGGGTGCTGGTGCCTATCTCCAGCTGTCAACAGGCGAGAGGCGGGGTACACCCTGGACAGGTCGCCAGTCCATCGAAGGGCAACACAGAGACAAAAAGGACAAACAACCATTCACACACACACTCACACCTAAGGAGAATTTAGAGAAGCCAGTTCACCTAACAGTCATGTGCATGAAAACATGAAAACTCCATGCAGAAAAACCCAAGGCCGGGAATCGAAACCACAACCTTCTTGCTGCAAGGCAGCAGTGCTACCCACTGCGCCACTGAGCAGCTATCCTCGGGTATTTTACATTTAAAAGAGAACCTATGTATCTTACTGACAGGACGGTGTTTAATTATTGTTTATCTCATTTTCATGGTAAATTAGTAATTTTATTTGGACATTATTTTATTTAATATCTCAAATTAAGAGCAAATACACCTATTTCAAGAATTTTTGGGATCTGTTAGTGAGCAGGTCTGTTTCTGCTTTGTCTCGTAGGCCCACCCAGGTGAAGTGGCAGATGTTAGTCGCAAGCTGTTATAGAAGAAGCGGTGAGAATAAAACCTGTTATTTATTTTTTCCTCTCATCAGACCGTTCAAGCAAAGTCAATTTGTATCATCATCCAGTTTGGTGAAAGCTTTAACTTCTCTCCCTCTCTTCTTTTAGGAAACTATCAGAAAGCTCTTGAAACCTACAAAGAGATCCATCAAAGGTTTCCAGAAAACACGGACTGTAGGTTATACTTTTGTTTGTGTCTAAGGTTTTATTCAATATTAAATATGAAGTAGGACATAAGAAATGCGTTTCTGTGTTTGTGTTCAGGTCTAACCCTCCTGGTGAGGCTCTCGGCTGACATGGGACTGAAGGAAGTCCAAGATTTTGCAACCAAGCTGAAGAAGTTGGAGAAGATGAAGGAGATGAAAGAGCAGGTTTGTTTGAGACTTTTTAAAGATATAACTTGGAAAAAGTGGTGTGTTGCATTTTTACTGCTCAGATGAATAATTTATACTCTCTTGTTGAAGTATTATCTGCAGTTTCTGTGACCAGACCAACTCATGGCTAAGAATAACTTTGAGAATTTAACTTTATTTACGGAGTCAGTATAAATCTAACCAGCATCCATTAAGTTGTAGCTGTGGATGACACTTACACTGTGTGGTTCACTTTCCCTCGTACTGAACAAGCATATGGCTTCAGTGGAGAAAAAAAAAAACTCCCCTTAAACCTTTTATCGATAAATAAAGATCAATGCACATCTAAAGAGTCAAAATCATGAGGTCAAATGTGATCTGCAGAGTCTATAAGGTCGACCTTTGTCTTAAAGCTGACTTTTTTAAAGAATACCACCAGTAATCTAATGCTGTCTACTGTGTTTGATATGTTACTGTACAATAAGTACAACAAACTAATGAAGTTAAGTTCAAAATGAAATTATGAAAGTTTAAAATCCAATTTAAAAAATGTAAAATTGAAGTTCCTTTCTTTGCATTAATTTTCTGAGGATTCTGTTTTAATGAAGCAAATTGTTTCTCTTTCTCTAAGTGTTTTCAAACACTTTTTTTTTCCTTTTTTTTTTACCATATTAGGGCAAGTGACTATTTCTGCTAATAACATTGACCTAGATTTACAAGGTCAATGTAACTTTGACCTATAAGGTTACATAGTTGTTGTTGCAATAGTAACAACTATTGTTGTTGTTACAATAGTTGTTACTTTTGCAACAACACATTATCAGTAGGGTAAAACTAACCTGTCTCATGATGGTAATATTAAAAAATTACTTTTTTAATATTACAAAAGCAATTAGTTGTGTTTCTGTCATTCAATAACACTGTTGTGTTTAAATGTTGAATTTCATAATATTTCACTGACCGTATAAAGGGTTAACAGGAAGAAATCGAGACTCTGTATCAGGGTCCTGCTGCCCCCACTAGGTCTGAGAAAACACACGAAAGAAATTAGGAATACTTTATTAGAGATATTTTTCTTTAAACATAAAA